GAATTCCAAAAGGATAGGTTCTATCTGTATGTCAAAAACAGGTGAACAGATCTTACACTGCTGAATGTAATTGCAAGTTTGAAAAAAGAGAGGGGATGGGTGAGAGGAGAAGATAAAGCCATTAACAATATCTATACTCCATGAGTTTTTCTGCCTCACACCACCAGGAGGGCCTGAGTCGGAATGCCACTAGCTTGGAGTTGAATGGACTTCTCCAACAACATACATGTACATGTACATCTTAAGGTCACTTACTGATGAAAGCTACTGCTTTGCCAAACAGATTTATTGGTTGTTTGGCAAGCATACGAGCTGCTCTATACCTATATAGAGCACAAAGAAAGTTGCTCAGGATGAGCATGCTGACATCAATGAGGAAGGAAGGCAATCGTCTCCAAGATGGTATGGGATTAGGACCATGTCTGAAATACTTGTGAATCTCTTCACTGGGATCTATAGTGCCATAGCTTTTGTAATAGATAACACCCAAACTTTGATGGTTTAACAAAACAGACTGCTTTTCCCTCTATAATAAAGTCCAAATTGGTTTGTCCAAGTGGTGATTCAGAAACCCACGTGGCTCCTGTCTGTGGCTTCACCATCTTCCAGGACCTCTGAGTTTTATGTTGGATTCTCTGCATTTAGCTGGGTGAATGGGAAGGAGAAAGTGAAGACATCACACCCACTTCCTACCCACCCTGGCCTGCAATTGTCACACGTCACTTTCACTCATGGCCCATTGGTGAATACTAGTCATCAGGGCTTCTCCTTGATGAGGTAGTCCCTGGCTGGCAGTTACTTCCCAACAACTCCACTATGTGATAAGGGAACACACACTGTGAGCTTTGCCAGGAAAAGCCATAGCGTTAAAAACTTCTTGCTGAGGAAATTCTTAGTAGGCATTTATACATCTATCACAGAGCAGGGATTAGTTGACTTACCAATATCTCTTTGAATGGTGAATTGTTCTATCCTATATGAAGAAACTTCTAATAGCAACCATATCCCCTTCTCATGGCTAAGGCAACAAGCCACTGGTAACAACGCTATAAAGACTCAAGGTTGTGCTCTGCTGGAACTGGTAAGTGTGCCTCCAATGTTGAAAGTCAGTAGAACTCAGTGGTGTCTCAAGATATCAGCTTTCAAACTCTCTCTTTCTCT